TGATGATGTACGTTTTTTTTTTTTTCTTCTTTTACCTTTTGGGGCATCCCCCCCCATGGGGTGCAAGGTCAAAATTATGTGATTCTATATTCCATATTAGGTAAATTTACAGCGGATAAATCAGGTTTACAGTAAAAAAAAAAAAGATATGGAATGGTTACCTTGACCTAAACTGAGACACTTTTCATCTATGGCAAAAGGTGCGCAAATCAAAAATTTAGAGTTACACGACAGAGAAGAGAGAAGACCGACCCATCTTTTTCCAAGTCCCTCGCCATGTTGACATCGTGAATGTAAACAAAATTGTGACCAGTCAACTCATTCTTGCGCTCTGTTAAGTAGTTCATGTATTACTACTCCGTTGTCAAAACGTATTTGGCTAATTATCAGTGTCTGCTGTTCTATATATGCTTTCAAAGGCCTTTGTTAATGTTGTTATACCTCATTTTCATGTTTCAAGATTTATTAGACTGTGATTTAAGGAAATTGGCCAGAAGCACCTTCTGCACAGGTGCACTTTCGCGTTTCTGCCGCCAGGTTTGACAGGATAATTCCCAGGGCACCCCCATGGGGGTGCAAGGTCAAAATTATGTGATTCTATATTCCATATTAGGTAAATTTACAGCGGATAAATCAGGTTTACAGTAAAAAAAAAAAAAGATATGGAATGGTTACCTTGACCTAAACTGAGACACTTTTCATCTATGGCAAAAGGTGCGCAAATCAAAAATTTAGAGTTACACGACAGAGAAGAGAGAAGACCGACCCATCTTTTTCCAAGTCCCTCGCCATGTTGACATCGTGAATGTAAACAAAATTGTGACCAGTCAACTCATTCTTGCGCTCTGTTAAGTAGTTCATGTATTACTACTCCGTTGTCAAAACGTATTTGGCTAATTATCAGTGTCTGCTGTTCTATATATGCTTTCAAAGGCCTTTGTTAATGTTGTTATACCTCATTTTCATGTTTCAAGATTTATTAGACTGTGATTTAAGGAAATTGGCCAGAAGCACCTTCTGCACAGGTGCACTTTCGCGTTTCTGCCGCCAGGTTTGACAGGATAATTCCCAGGGCAGTCCGGTGACAAGAGACCGGCGAGAAATGTTTTGGTTTTGGTGTTACATCGATTCTAGGTTGTTCTTAAGACTATATAGTGGAAACGAAGAAGAAAAAGACCTTAATAACTATCGCAGTTCGATTTCTGAGGTCATCAAGTACCCCAAATCCCTCCCCCCCAAAAAAAATAAAAACAAAGCGATCCACGATCCACAATAGACCGACCGAAAGAAGCGAAGGAAAATTGACAGTTCGGTCTTTCGATATATAAAGGTATTTGGTTTATTGTTTACAGTATGGATATAGCTTTATCTTGCTGTACATACCGGCTTGCCCCCATCAACCCTCCCCTGCAGTGCCTGAAGGGCACACCTAGTCACGGCACCGTAAATTGCTAGGTTAGGTTGGGTTATGGGTTAGGACGTTTTTGGGGTCTGGAAGGTGTGAAATCCCATAGATTTTGCCGAAAGATGGATTGGATTCCCGTAGAGTTTTTCGAACTCTGGCGCGTCAGTGAGTAGACTTTCAAAGGTGGCGGACATGCCAGTAGAGTTTCATTAGCCGATTTATAGCGTTTTTTGTGCTAGTTTTACACGTTTCTGTTTGCTATTAACCTTATTTAAGGGGACCGTCCCAGATGGAGGGGGGGGGGAGGGGGTTAAATTGAGTTAGTTAGCGTATAGTATAGGTACATGGATGAGGAAACTACCAAACGAGTATTAACGCCTGCTATGGCTCGTTGTCTTGCAGCCGTGCGAGTCCCTCAGCACCCGGAGAGGTACGTCGCTATGAGCGCCCAGGTACACCTATGTGGACTTTTGCTTGCGGCAATCGTGCATAAGGCATTTAATTATGACATTGCGCATAGATATGAGTTCGTGAATGTTCAAGGAACACTTTTATACCAATATCAGGAAAAAATTATATCACCGTGATTTATGACGAAATATTTTGTGAAATATATCTAAAAAAAAATGTATGTTTTGTGTCCTTTTACACACGAAATATGCTTTGATCGAGACTCCCTGGTAATATGTTTTAGTTTACGTGGTAATATATACGTATATCACATACGAAGCACTAATGTTTAAAAATAGCCTTATAAGGAAGGATTGAAATATTTCCGTTACATTTCGCTCAACGGTCGGTACATCACAGCAGGGGGCAATTTGAATTGATTTGAAATTGGTAGTTACCGTTGTAAAGACCAATTCAATACGAATGTTACCTAAATGTCGGATTTTTAAACTTCGGATGTATAAGCGAGATACAGATTATTTCATGTTGAAGATGATAGTACTCAGTAATACCTGCTCTGAAATAAAAACTATATGGAATTTTGAGCTCGGTTGTATGCGTAGTCTTCGTCTGGCGTTCAAAAAGCTATCGCATCCGTTTCGTGCGTTCCCGATAAAAATGAATATGTTTAGACGTTACCGTAAGTCTTAGGCACCATAAATTGGCAAATATCCCACAACACTAGGCGTCTGCATGATTTTATGCACTTCTTAGTAAAGATAATGGGTGCAAATGGCTAATCATAAACTTTACACTTGTTCTCCCTTGCAATCTGTTAATATTGACAATTATCAAAGAAAATGGTATGAGAGGGATAACTAATATATTTTATTATTTAGATATGAAAGTCAATGTAGGCCTACTAAATGATGATGATTAATCTTTTTAACTTTATGTGCGTGCGTTCACGTACATATGATCCTCCTCGAAAATTATAAACACCATGTTGTATTCATGCCAGGAGTTTATAATTAGAATGATTTTGTACTAGTGTCGCCATCCACAGTTCTCCATTTCTTCAAAATAAAAAATAAAAATAAAAATAAAATGATAAAAAATAATAATAAAAAAAATAAAAAAAGGTTTTTATCTGGTTTAGATTAGTTGTCTCTATGGTAAAATGCATTTATTAAGCTTTTCACATGAAAATATCAACTTGTATGAACAACGAAAAAAAAAAAAAAAAAAAAATACATACCTTTACAGAATAACGTCCCTATTGAAAATGAAAATTCCTATTGACTTGGTAATCATTGCATTGCAAAGTACACTAAATAAGCATTTTTTTATATATAATATCATTAGATTCAGAGAAAAATAACAGAGATATTGAACTTTGGCAAGGCGCCAAAAACAAAACGCTGTAGCTCCGTTATCTTTTTCTTTAATCTCCGGTACGTCCCAACTCACGTAATTTTCATGCGATTCAAATGCAGTTTGTTGCTTTCACTAGAGCCTCGGCGTCCCAAGGCCGTGTAAATGGCCGATTTTCAAATTTTTGCCCTAATCAAAATATAATATTTCAATGCTGAAAAAAAAAAAAAAAAATCAAAAACAGTTCTCTATGTCAAGCTGTCCCCCGCCTAAAAAAAAAAAAAAAAAAAGGAAATTCAAAAATCGGCCATTTACATGGCCTTAGGCTAGGGTTGATCTAACATAAGTATTTTTTGGGGAATATTCAGCAAAGAACTGTGATAGTTGGGATGTACTGAAAACAAACAAAAAAAAAAACATTTTTTTTTTACTTTTTGGGGGGTGCCCCGCCTATGGGGGAGCAAGGTTAAAATTATATATATAACCGAGCGCAATTCTATACTCTATATCATGCAAAAAGAATCAATCAGTTATCTCTAACCAATATTTTTTTATGATGTAAAGAGTAGGGAAAGGTGGCCATTCTCCAGGACAGTCCCCTTAAACCTGTTCTACCCCATAATTTCCCTGATATACTTCATGCCCTCCCCTGCTAATGGGACTTAACACATCAAGATCGTCGGCTGTGACTGCAACGGAAATGATCAATCAGATTCATTCTCATCATATGAGAATAAATCTGATGATGTAAATATTGTCTGGGAAGTCCCTATTGTCATAATCGAAAAATTAACCCTATGTTATGCAAAAAGAATCAGTGAGTTATCTCCAGCTTTTTTTTTTTTTTTTCTTAATGATGAAATGAGTAGGGAAAGGTGGTCATTTCCACGAGATGGTTCCCTTAACACATCAAGATCGTCAGCTGTGATTGCTACAGAAATGAATATCAGATTCATCCTCATCAAATGAGAATAAATCTTATGATATAAAAATTGTCTGGGAAATCCTGATTGTCATAAACGGGAGAATAACCGAAATTAGCAATAAATTCAACTCTGGTGTACAAATGTTGTGTTACAAATACATCTGGTGAATGTTTGAACAATGGATTACTTACATTCTGAATTAAATTATACCACATCATTGATGAAATAATGGAGGGGACTATGAGTACAGCAGAAAATACCCCAATTGGTGTTCTGTGATGTGTGGTGAAATAAAGGGGTAAGGGCTCGGCACAAGATTATACCACTCAATTTGGTTGGATTAGGTTAGGTTCGTACTTATTACCTGAAATAGTTTACATGCGCATCTGCATATATGTGATGTACCCCCTAACCTAATCGGATGTCCTGTGTACACACAACACTGGCATAAAATAATACCAAACTTCTGCAATCAACTCCATATAGCTGCTACTAATGTCTTAACAACCTTTTAATGAAGCTCTTAAAGAGGACAACTTTCCCACCAAAGTTTAATCACTCCTTTGACGACCTGTAACATTACCTCTACTTTCCAAGCTGAAGAGGCATAAGAAGCAATTTCAGAGTCAGTTATAACATGTTGAATTTCCTTTTAAATACTCAGTTCAACATTTCCAGTCCCAACTGCCAACTGTCTCCTCCTGAGCATGTCCGGGACACGACCACACAACACTCAACACAGAAATGCCATTGTCTTTAACGTCTTCTAAAATCAGCACCTCTGTAACACATGCTATGTATCCCTTATTGTAAGCAGTCTTAAAATTAGAAGAGATATCCAAGAGGAGATGAGTGACTGCGTGGGCTGTGTGTTAGTGAGGGTTGGCCGCACTTTGTTTACAGACCTTGACGTGACCCTCCTCCCATCTCAACTCGACACGCCCTTCCCGCGTCCGCCCTCGGCCCATCCGACCAGAAACTCCATTCATCGCACCCAAACTCCACTCGTCCCCAACCCACAGTGCGTAAGACGCCTTACCGGCCTACGAAATACTCCAAATCTTGCTTGATCCGTGTCCTGTCGCCTACGAAGATGTTTACAAAAAACTATCACCTCTGTTCGATTCGCTTCTATTGGCTTACTGTTCTCATATTGTTCTTTTCTCATTAGCTGATTTTATGTTGCTTGGCACGACTTTTGAGAATAAATAAGCTTCATGATTTGTTTTCTTCATAGACATTTGACGTATCCTAAATATACCATACTGTATCTAATGCTACAGACTAAGTTTGTAAACGACAATCAGACGAAGTCAACAGTGATAAGTTGAGGATGCGTCCAACAGATGGCAGAAAACTCAACAAAACAAGTGAAGAAAGTAAAGCGGACAATAGGAATCTATTGTTTACTCTAAAAGTTTCAACAAGTTATAATTTTACCTAAATCAGATATCTGAAATTTTAAATTGATTGGATTTCAGCAAATTGCACAAGAAAAAAGAACGATTATGAAAGGCAAATTTGTCTGTCGGGATTTCCTGACATATATACCTTTGTGAAGATGTGAATGGGCGTAGGTGTCGTGACAACAATTTACATGTCATTATATGGAAACCTACAGCGCAATACATTAAAGGGGCTATTGTTACATTCAATAACCTGGACAACGTATCGTCCATCGGTCTAACCTTATGTAAAGAAAAATTATAGAATATTATTGAGTGCAAAAAGTTAAGCGCTACTACAAAAAGAAAGAAAGAAAGAAAAAAAAATACCTGATCACAAAATGAATGTAGCATTCTTTAATTACTGAACACTTTCAAATATTTGTTCAATATACACTTAGATACACTATTCAATGCATACTAGGAATGTAACAAAGTATTTGTTTAGGGGGGATGGTAATAGAGCTGCATTATTTAAATAACTATTATATATATATATATA